CTTGAGATGATTGGTCACATGAAAAAGGGTGAGTCGGTGCTGATCCACTCAGGCAGTGGGGGCGTAGGCCAGGCAGCCATCAACATTTGTCTGCACGCAGGTTGCACGGTGTTTAACCTGAAGAGGATGGAAGGATCCTGTACATAATGTCACTGGGGATTGACTCTGACCTGATGCTACAAAAAAAAAAATCATAACATAGATCATAGACAGAATGTGACTATAATCTTTGCTCATAATTTGTTGAGTTTGTGTTGAAAGCTGAGAATTTTATAATTCTAAAAACCTTGCATAAGTTTTCCAGTTTCATGCCACACCCTCTTTTATGTAATAGGTTATAGTTCATTACTCTGCATTAGTTCAGTTTAGATAAGAAGGGTAAGTGAATGGGAAGAAGTGTGCAATGGGAAACTAGAGATTTATATAATTTTGTATTTTTATTTTGGAATCATTGGAAGGTTTCTGTATTCTGTTATAGAGTATGCCTGCACACACTATTTGCATGTTGAACAATGTTATAAGTAGAATGCCTTCATAATTTTTAATTCCAAAAATCAACATTTAGGCATGTGATATGCAACAATGTTGCCACTTTCAGGTGGCTTGGGAGGCTTTGGTCTGGAGCTGGCTGATTGGCTTGTGTCACGAGGAGCTCGTAAATTGGTGCTGACATCTCGTAATGGCATCAAGACTGGCTACCAGAGCTTACGTGTGAGAATGTGGCGCAGCTGTGGTGTAACGGTAGTCATCTCTCTGGCTGACATCACCACAAAGAGTGGCGTAACAGCTCTACTGTCAGGCGCAAAGAAGCTGGGGCAAGTCGATGCCATATTCAACTTGGCTGTGGTGAGTGTCGAAGTTGTTCATCTTCAGAAAGTGCATAATCCATGTAGTAAAGCACCTAATGAACTCCTTATGATGCTAATGCATCTTGCCATTTGATTGATAGGTAATAAGTGGCAGTATTGCTTCCTTCTGAGGCTCTGTGAGTTTTTGTGTTCTAGCATTAACTTAACGGTTAATCAGGGCATAGGAGAAGAAGGTAGAGAATAATACCTGAGTAGGAGTAGCCATTGGAAATGTTTCACTGCCTGTTTTGATACTGAAAGAGTCACCCGTGCATTATTGTAGGTGCTGCGAGACAAACTCTTGGAGAACCAGACTGAGGCAGACTTTGCTGCTTCTGCAGGACCCAAGGCACTTGCAACGCATCACCTGGATGCGCTGTCTCGCCAGATGTGCCCACACCTGCGTCATTTTGTGGTGTTCTCCAGTGTATCATGTGGGCGTGGTAATGCTGGGCAGACGAACTACGGCATGTACAACTCCGTCATGGAGCGTGTCTGTGAGGCCCGTGTCAGAGATGGGTTGCCAGGTCTTGCTGTCCAGTGGGGCGCTGTGGGGGACGTGGGGTTGGTTGCAGAGATGCAGGAGGAACAGGAAGACATTCAGATAGGTCAGTTGTGCTTTTAAAATGTATTTTATTATTACCTGAGCATGAATCATTGTTGTCATTATTGTGTTTCATCCAGTGCTTCAGCCTTTTATCTGCCCTGTCCTCTTCCCCTACTTCTCAAACCCAAAGCTCAAAGTTGGTTTTCATTTCTCTTCCATTTTTGCTCATGGATTTTGAATATTAAGTTATTATAACGAATGGAATTTGAAGTGTAATTTGAGTAAATATAAAATAGTAGTTTATGGAAAAGGAGGTAAGCTGAAGAATACCAAAATATAGAGATAATAAATTAATTTAGAAATTTTGGAATAACTTTAGAAAATACTGGGGGATGGAGGAATCAGAAAGCATGCATAAATGCAAAATGCGTTCAGGTATTAATACCTAATACTCATGATATAGAAGTTAGGAATTAAAATAAAAATGCGAAACATTGTGTGAATCCAAGATAATGTTGGTGTTCATCTATGGGTACTGAATGTAACTTGGAAGCAATGACAGAATATGTGGACATTTTTGTAAGAAAATACTAGGTTATGTTAGGTTAGGTGTGCAGTGAATATCATGGCAGAAATGGAGCCAGGAATAGACAGTAGAAAAGCAAAGGTGAAGTGGTTGGCCGTTTAATACTTACAACGAAAAATGCATGTGGACATTCAAGACCTGGACAGAAGGTGTTATGAATGGTAAAAATATAGTGTGGGATTCAAAAGCTGAGTGAAGAACATGAAATACAAGTATAGAACTTGCATACATTTGACATAATCAGTACAAATGGGACATCAACACTGTAAGGAAGAACATTGGAGAGAAGTGTAATGGTACTGAAATACAAAATATATATTTTATTATGTCTGAAAATACATTATTAGTGTCTTGCCAAGGGAATGGGGTAGGTAAGTGTATATCATACTCTGCTTCATAAACAAAGTAATGGATTAGCTTGGATGAAGGCTGGAGTTTGGAAGCAAAGACACAGCGTGCTCCCCGAGCAGCAGCAACAGAGCTGCCCAGAAACCAGAAAATGGAGAATGAAATTTGTGAGTTAAAGGTTTGTGTGTACGAATGAAGAGCTAGCATACAAGGAAATTGTAAACTACATATAAAGTTCATGTAATACATTTAGGATTTGTTTGTACAAAGCTAAACATAAATAGGAAAGTGGGGTTAGAAAATAATACTAAATTATAACATTCACCTCTTATTAAATTTAAAATAATAGTGTTTTAATTGAAAAAGGCAGTACACTAAAAAAACCCTGGTATTAAGTGGTGTGTTGTCTCATGATAACTTGTATTTGCAAAAAAACTCAAAATATTTCCCATTTCTTCGTTTTTATCTGTGTACTTGCATCAGGTCATACTGACACTCTGGGTTTGCTGTGTGTGGAGTGAGTCAAATTTAATTTTGATTGAATATTATGGCTACCCCTGGAGAGGCATCTGATTATGGAACTGGTTTTACCAGTTGCCCTGTTTCTTTGTGTTGCATATTTTATATTGCAATTTCTTATTATATGTGTGACTTTTTCTTGGCGTATATCCTGTTGTTCTAATTGTACAAGCCTGAACTACACTAATAAATCTGATCTCATGACTGTAATTGTATGGGCATACTGTGTATGCCCTGTTTGTCCTGTATGTTCTTTCTTTGATACATACCCATTGTATCTTGTTGTAGTTGTACATTTTATTTTCGTTTGTGCAAGTGACTCACCTTGGTAGCAATCACAAAAGGAAAGAAAGTGGGGAAGAATGAATGGCTTATCTTCCCATTCTCCCCTTTCGTTACACTTGGTTGGGAATTTTCATGCGCAGCTGCCAAACCCAAGCTTTGAATGTTGGCTCGTACATAATGCTAACACTGTTGAGTTTAGCATTGGATTTGTTCTTGGATATTATGATAACGCAGTATTTATACAGAACAATTAAGTATTGTTTTAAGAAGTTCTTCACTGAAATATTGATAATTTAAAGTTGTTTGAAGAACTTTCCTTATTAATAAAAATGTTTCATCCTTGCGTATCTCAGCTGTGATGTGCGCAAAGGACTAGAAGAATTTGACAGTATCAAACTTTACTTATAGTTTCTTCTTTGACCTAGAAATGTTATGAATTCTGATTACAAGAAATACATAAGGACATTTAAGTTTTAATTTGGGTACTAAATTTTTGTCTGAATATTTCTATATTATATTCCCTTTCAGTTTGCTAGACTAGTAAGAACTATTTTCAGATATGTCAGACCTTCTAAGCTGGTGCTACTGTACTTTTCTCTGGCAAATGGCACTGGCTAGGTAGTCAGAATTGGCTATTTCAGATTTGTTTATGTGGTTTAAAAAGGCACACAAGAGCACTAGAAAGCAGGTCTTTTACTGGGTGTTAATGGCTGAAGATTTAATGTACTTATGTCATGGGTGTTAATGGCTGAAGATTTAATGTTCATGTCTCATATATTGCAGGTGGCACCCTAGTACAGAGGATTTCATCATGTCTTGAGGTGCTTGACAGATTCATGGGGCAGACATGTCCTGTAGTGTCGAGCATGGTTGTGGCAGAAAAATGTGTGGGAACCAGTGAACATGCAAATGTAGTGGAGTGTGTGAGCAGCATTATGGGTAAGTTTGAGTGGCTTCAAGTGTACTGCAATGAGACATTTCAGGAATTCACATAAGTACATGGAAATGTAGCGCGAAGAATTGGATAAACAGCTTCAAAATATGGGAGTATTTTAAGTATGGCTGTCGTGGCAGTAGGTGTAGAATGCGTAATAATTAGAAGTTAGAGGAAGCGATGGTTTTAAAATACATTTTACTTACTTGCTGCATTGCTTGTTTTTATGGCAGTCTTAACCCTTTATTATGTGGTAATACGTACTATGGGGCTGTTGGCCTGACTTTAACTCCAGGTTTAATGGTGTAGAGGTATATTTAATAGAATTGCCTGTAAGCAGTCGCACGCAGATGACAGAGGTAAAACAGTTGAAAAATTTTGAAATAATGGCACTTACAGATTGATTTGCATTATGTAGAAACAGTTACAGTCACTGACAAACCAGGATGATACATTTTTTGATTGCAGTTAAACTTATAGATAATGTGTTAGTGGCCGTCTGTCTTCTGTCACTTGCAAAGATTTCTCGATACTAGAAATATCCCTTTTAATTGGAATTTATCTCCCTCACTTTTAAACCATAAATTTTTTGTTTTTAATCACAAACTAGAATCTGTATTGAAGGATTAGTGTTTCATAATAAAGTAAATTTTTATTGCAGGTATCCGTGATCTGAAGACCATTAGCCCAACTTCTACGCTGGCAGAATTAGGGATGGACTCCATGACAGCTGTGGAGATTAAACAGTCACTTGAGCGAGAGTTTGAATTATTTCTCACGTCTCAGGAGATACGAAGCCTAACATTCACACGCCTCAAGGAGATGGCCGCAAACAACCAGGTCAATGGGGAGGAAGAACATACATCTCAAGGTAGACAGTACATAGCTGGTCCATCTAAATATTATGTAAATTATTTACCATTATCCTAGTGGAAAAATTAATGTCTCTGAAATGTTTTGAAGCCAAGTCCATGCGGTCCAAAATATTAATTTTGCATTGTCAATTCACAGCTGTTGGCCTAACAAAGAGCATAACCTTACACACATAGTGTGTCTTTTCGAAAGTGGACGTTTCCTTTATTAATATTGCGTTAATTAAGAGTCTCCTTGGCTGGAAATACTTCCTGCCATCCTGATTATAGACTTATGATAGTGGTTGAAATCTTAGCCACCCATTTGCAAAGGGTTAAACATAGGGACAGTGTTACCTATTAGTCTGATCCATTTCAGGTTCTAATTGGTTTCTTATTCATTTTATAAAACACCACAAGGAAAAATTATAGATAAGATGTTGAAAGAGCAGTGCATGGTAGTTTTGTTAGAGATCTCACAGAATCTTCCTTCTTCCTTAAAGAGCAGTGTTAACTCTGAAGAAGAAGGCATTAGAGTTAATTAAATTATGTACTTATATGTTGGTTGTCCACAGAGAGAAGGGTTCACCCTCTCAGCTGCCCAGTGGGTGCATAAGTGTACATGTTTGATCTTGTGTTGCAGTGTTGTGAGAAAAAGGTGGAGGTATATTTTGTGGACGGCAACCACTTGACAATGCTGGACAGCGAGGATGCTGCCGCCATTATCAACAGGCAGATTACAAATA